ATGGCTGTTTTTAATTGAGCATGCATATTGAACACTTAAAATATCCTCCTGGGGATGCCATGCAATTATACCCAGACAGATGTAAGAATCAAGGCCACCTCCTCTATTTCTCCTGGGCTTTTCCCGCAAAGACTGTAATTCTTGTCAAATTGTGTTTGGGTTGGATGAGCATTTGCTAGGAACTAGACTCAGACCACAACTTGTTTTTGCTTCCTACATGAGGAGGATCAGATTGTGCTCATGGCTTGTGCAAGGAGCATGACAACGTGGCATTTGTGAACTGTTCTATGCCTGAAGCAAGCAGTGCTCTCTTGGCATCTCACTTTGTAAGAAGCTGACATTTGTTTATTGAAAACAGTAATGTACAAGTACCAGGCTTGTTGGGTGGAACTCATTAGCACTATACTTCAGGGAGGGCCAAATTCCCTCGCCTCCCTGCCACGAGTGGAGACATCTCCCTTTGTCCTAATCCCATCAAATTCTGTAACAGTTAGGCCTCTATTTAAAAAAAAAAAAAAAAAAAAGCCCCAAACTAAATTGCATATCTACCCTGTATGCCTCTAAATGAGGCAATTAAAACATACTTCCAAGTAAGCAGATAGATCAAGCAAGCAGACAGATCATGCCAGCTCCTGCTGCTGTTCGTGTTTTGCCAACTTGTGAAATTAAGGGCTTGCTCTAGTCAGTTGTACTTAGTACTGTTAGAGTGGCAAAGACAGCATTCTCTTTCTCAACAAACTCCTATGCATCTCAACAGTAGAGAGGCCTAGGAATGAAGGAGAAGTAGCTCATTTCTCCCATGTTTAGAGAGGGAGCACTGTGGATTTGCAAATACACCTGGTATAAATGCAAGTCCACACTGGCCTCTGCCTGATACAAAATATAGGCCCTGGTTGGGGGTCACTGAGGAAAGCATCCTTTTTTTTTTTTTTTTTCCTTGGCCCACAGAGCTTTTGTTCTGAAAAGCTTTCCTGTCCTCCTGCCTCCTCCAGATTTGCCTTGTTTTTTTCTCTGGCAAGGTCATAAGCTGACAGATAGCTTAGTTTTTTTTTCCTCCAAGTCCTGATAAACGTAAGCTTATCCTAACACATTTCTAATGCTGCAGTTTTAAGTAGGCATACCTCAGCCATGGTGAATATTTCTTTCTAAGATTTGTGTGCGTGCAACAGCATTTCATTCTAGAGCTATGTCCAGCTACAATAGGCTATGCCATCTGTTCTGTTTGCGGTACTTCAGTTAAATGTGTAGTATCACACTGAGTTTGGTTATTCTTTTTGCTTATATAGCAGTATCCATGATCACACTGACTCCCACTGCTTTATGAAGATCCTCCAGGGAAATCTAAAGGAAACTCTCTTTGCATGGCCTGAGAAAAAAGGAAATGGCGAAATGACTAAGAAATCAGAACGTGTTCTCAGAGAAAATCAATGTGCCTATATTAATGGTAAGCTCCTCTAGTATCTTATTTGACAGCTACCCACCTATGAATGTGACTCCTTAAATAGGATAGTTCATGTGCTAACTAGGCTCTTACCTTTAACAGTATCATACACTTTACACACTTGAACTTGGCTATTCAAATTCTCTACAAACCTGTATTTGGATTCAATAAAACAAACAAAATTTTCCTTTTAACTCACTCTTAAGACATTGCAGCATTTGCTTGGTTGCAGCAATCGCTTGGTACTTAAAGAGGCTGGATAGCTCTTCTATACTGAGTAGCCTTCAGCACTGTGTCCCAAATAACTCTGAAATTGCCTGTAAACACAGAGCTTAAATTGTATTTTGTGGAGAAACAAGAGGAAACAAAGTTTAAATTTCTTAATCATCACAACTTTACAAAGAAATAGTCCTTGTGATCTGTCATGGAAATCCTAGGGCAAAAATGTAAAAGCCATAGAATAAATTAAACAACCAGAAACAGAGGCTGTGATCCTCAAGTGTAAATTTTCGTCCAAATCCAAAAAAGACTCTAATGCTGAAGTGTAGTGTCAGCAGAGCTGAAGGTCTACCCAAACAATCTATAAAACAATCGCCTAACTCCACAGATGCTGAAAGACATCTAAGTCTTCACCAGGAAGGTTCCCTAGGTACCTAAAGTCATGCCATTATGCATACCGGTAACTATTGCCATCTTGTGTTACACCTGAGGCTGCCTGGGAGTCACCAGCTGGGCATCACATTCTGATCCTACAAGAGGCGTTACAAATCGTGCTGAACTGCAAAGAGTTCAGCAGAACGAGCGCTTCAGGGCAAAGCCTCAGAGAAGGGGGCTACCTGCCTTGTATGTGATAGCTGAGTAACTACAGCACACCCCTGCGGTGCTCCCTCCGGTTCAAGGGAGTCACATCCACAGCCTCAGCTTGGCTTACAGACTAGGCCAGGGCAAAGGGCATAGAGGAAACATGAAGGGTACTCTCCAGCCCTTTGCTGCAGGTATGTCACTTTATCTGAAAACACAAAATTCACAGGACAGGAAATGTAAGGAAGAGCCTGATGCTTCTACTGATGGAGGGGGCACTCCCACACCTGGGTGGTGGGTTCTCAGACTTGTTTAGGTTTTCTTCCCTATGTATGTGGTTCGTTGCAATGCAAACAATTACGCCCTGTGTGTATCTGATCCAAAGCTTTCTTGGTTGTTTAAAACAAATTTGGTATCCAATTCTCTGGGACAGTTTAGATCATATTTCATGCTAGGCATTTTGGCTTAAAAGAAACAAGTAAAAGAAGTAGATGGAAAACACTGACAGTGTTCTACTTGATTGCCTTGCTACTTTAATGGTGTCCATAAGCCTTCGTGTTTCTACTACATGTTTCTTGGTGGCTGTTGTACTTTACTGTTAAGGCTATAACCCACTAATCTGAGTTTATTTGAATCTCCCTTTACATAAGCACACATTTAAGGCTTTTTTTCCTCCCCGCATCCTTTATTTATCTAAATGATGTTAATGACACTTAGGGCTTACGCTCTTGACTCTGATATACATTCGAAGTGTACTTACAGTTCCCAGGTTATTGTGCCTACAATGCATAATACAGGTCTGAGTATTAGATGATGTATTAATTTTAAGTACAAAGGCCTCAGTTGTTTTCTTACAGCAGGAGTCATAAACTTGAATTCAAGGTTTCCCTTAAGTAATTCAAAAACTCCACTTTAATATAGAATGAAAATAGATGTTTTTATGGATTTGATTCTTCATAGTTTACATTTTCTGGGACGATCGAGCAGAAGTCAAGGTATTACATAAAAATGCCATTACTTCAATAAGACAGTGTCTTATTACCTGTTCAATTACGCTTACTGTTCGGTTAAGATTGGACATATGCCAGTCACCAGTCATTTGTCGCTTTAGACAAAAGACCAAAGAAATGAAGACTGTTCTACTCCAAACTAATAAGTTGGAAAGATTAATTAGGAAATGGACGTCTGCAATAGAAGACAAGTATATCTCTGCCCATGAGTCCATGCTCCAAAAACAAGTAGCTGACTCTTAATGTGATTGATGTCCTTGTTATTGGGCTGAGAATTAGTAATACAAAAAGTCTGCCTGTAAACTATCCTGCTGATTTTTAGAAACACAAATCTTCCTGCTTCTAGAGAGCAACAGCATCTCCTAGGAGAATAAACCTTAAACCCATTTGGGAATGGCAGCTGGCAAATTACTGGCCGCATGGCCTTCCTTAAGCTTCTTTGGATTTCTATTGGCCTTTATCCCATAGTAGATAATCCAGTAATTTACAAGTGTTGAAGGCGATAAGGTATTCTGAAGCACCAGTGTATTTAGGAAACCGTGCTAGAGAACAGCAGTCTAATTTGCCGTACTGAGTTACACGTTGTTCCTCAAAGTGCAGGTGTGACTAACCGGCTTCTTCACAAGTTTCAGCTTAGATGGCACTCTTCCAGGTGTTTATGAGATCTTGCTAAATCTGTCTCTTAATGCAACCTTTCATTTCATGCCCTTGCCTCTCTAGACTCCATTGGCTTGCACCGTGTGGAGAACATAAGCCACACAGAGTCTGCTGTTAGCCTGCATTTGTACAGCCCACCCTTCGACAGCTGTAACACCTTTGATCAAAGGACTGGACACAAGCACAAAGTCAAAATGACATTCTATAGCAAGTTTGGCGAAAGGACTCTATGTGTAAGTATGGGATAATACGTTCCCTGGCAGCTCTTTGTCACCAACCACTTGCCCTTGTGCAGGGACAGGACAGAGGGGCTGCGTTTTTGTCTGCACAGAGCAGACCATTGGCTCCTGGGGGGCTCTCCAGGACTTGTAGCAATCTCACAGTTCCTGGGGCATCCATATCTAGGATCAGCATAAGATGTATTTCAAAAATACTCTTCCGTTTGTCAGTTTGCGCTTTCCTTATATGCAGTTCTCTTCCCTGCTGTGTTACAAAGTGCAGTAATACAACCACATAGGAAAATTGAGGCTGAGAACTTATCATCTGTTAGTGATGACGTTGGATTTGGCTGCCCTGGCTCTTCTCACCACCCCTTTCCGTTCCCCTATGGACGGTGTCCAGCTGTGTGAGGAGTGGAAGAGCCTAGCAGGAGGCAGTTCTGTGTGGAGAAGAGGATTAATGAGAACTTTGCTATTAGTTAAGCGTCTTCAGACAGTAAATGTAACCTAGTCAATGGAAGGCCATTAAGCAGCTAGATTATTTTAGCCAATTTAAGTCATGTGTAACATTCCCTGCCTAAACTGTTCTGCCAAAAAGCATCCCGTTTCAAGCCAGTTGTTTTAAACCTTGTAACTTACTGGAAGTAAAGCAAGATAAGTACTCAGACTTTTTAAAATCAAAACTTTTAAATGGAAACACTTGCTTTGAGAGAGAGTAGACTGGCTGTTGTCTGCATTCCTGAGCAATGTCAAGAGATTGAATTTGGATAGAAAGGAGGGACCAAGCTAGGACATCTGGCAGGGTTTGATAGGGTTCCCTTTTAGCACTTCTCTGTGTGTTGGGAAAAGTTACCACATACAAGGGGAGAAAAAACAGATTTTTGTTGGGTCAGCTACAGAGGTTCAAAGACTGTTTTTGTTAGATACAGAACACTTTCACCTTTTACTGAGGCCAGAAATTCAGTGCTTTGGACTTCTAAGCAGTGAGCCCTTAGTAAGATCCAGCTAAAGATTTATATAATCAGCAAGCCCAGTGTAAATTATTTCTTTGCATCTTGTCAGATTAAGTGATTACAATTTTACTAAACAGCTGAAACCTGAACTTTAACCTTCACAAGTTTGAAAGGTCTTTGAGAAAGTAAGCTCAGATTTATAAATCAGATTTTAAAGGACAATGAACACAGAAAAAATGTGGAACAAAATTCACAGGAGAATTCAATATTTGCTTGTTTTCCTTTCATTTTAAGTGTTTATTGAATACAAAGTGTGCAAGATAAATGGAACTAGATACTTTAACTTGGACTATTTTCCTACTCTTGATTTGTAACCCACTGGCAATGTTTGCACCTTTTGTGGGAAATGGGATCTGGCTTACAGGAGAGAGGTAAATCTTAATCACTAGGTCTCTTTCATGAATTCCTGTAAATGGAATTCCAGTAAGGCAAAGAGTGGTAGCTAGTCTGGGCCATCCAACTGTCTGAAATGACTTCATGCTACAAAAACCTTCTGGTTTCAATGACGGTTTTTGGAAAGCTCACTGGAAACTCAAGCCTTCTTCTGTTTACCAGATCTCGAAAGGACTTAGGAAGGCAGAGGACTGTACGTTAAAAGGAAAAGGAGAATAGTGTAAAGCATACTTGCATATCTTCATTAGTGAGAAGATTATTAAAGCACATTCAGCGCTTCCCATTTGTCTGAAGTTTTCTCTGTAGGTAAAATACTCGGGTAACCCCTAGTGGTTACGATGGAGTCTTAATTAACTGAACAGTAAATATATAAACAAGTTAGAAGGCCTAATAATTGACACGGTGTGGAGTTAACTTACCAAGGACTTACTCAGAAAAGAGACTGTTTCCACAGTCCAAGTATGAACCATTAGAATACAGATGTGAAAGTTCACTGAGGAAAACCTGGTTTTGTCTCCTGGCTGTCAGAGCATATCAGAGGCTCTTGCTATTGGGAATTGTTCTAGGGCAGGTCGTTTCTTTGCAGTCTATCTTTCAAACTGGAGTTCCAGTTTCTGTCAGAATGAAATACAGCACAGCGTTTCTGACAGAAAAGATAGCCTAAAGGAGAAAGCACTCCTCAGTTGTCTCTTCTGCCCATGGTCACACAGGGACCCAAAGGATAGGGCAGCTAATTTTATCAGGTACTGTGGTATTTGGGCCATACTATCCTCTATAAAATGTGGGTAGTAACTTTTTATCTTGCAAAAAATATTGAAAAGAAATACATCAAATATTTTAAGGTGCTGAGCTCCCCTGGTAATGTTAAGGCCCATATTAAGAACAGGCAGATGGTTGGAGTCTACTACTAAGTCTCTTCCCTTAAAAAAGAAATCTCTCCTCTCTCTTTTTAGGCAACAGCAGTGCCACAAGAGAACAACTGAGAAGCACCAGCATGTGTTTGCTTAAGACCTGCTGAATGTTTAACCAGGGACAGAAGACTTACATGGCTAAGCCTGACAGCCAGCTATATTCCTCTAACTTGTACATAGAACTACAGTAGGGCAGCTTCCAGGCAACCTGTAGTTATCTTGAGTGAATGCTGATTATGGGACACTAAGCTAACTAGTGCCATAAACTACTTAAGAGGTTAGATGCCTTTTCTTAGGCTGTTGTCAAGTCAGAATGAAGTAGTTTTTCTGATTCTAGCCTCCTTTTAATTCCACTTTTTATATCAAACATAGGATTTTTAAACATCATCTGACACTACTTAATAGGCCTTACATGTATGTATGCTCTCAATGTAATTAATAATAATATAAACTTTTAAGCTTCCCGTCACTTGTACCTATGGGTAGTATACTAGATACTACTAACAGCAGCTCTTTTTTATTAAGTCTTTTTGGTTTTAATGCCATAGGTCATTTTGATAGTTTTGTGCATTTTTTTACTTTATTTTTTACAATTTGTTTGTCAGATCTTATTTTAAATAGGAGCAATAAATTGCTTCGTGTACAATGATTTTCAAAACTGATTGGGCAAAGATTTGAATTTTTAATAAGACTAATCCTACTTAATACAGCTAATGTCCAGTTTCCAGAGTATTCTGTATAGCTACTGAACTCCTTCCAGGTAACTAAAATAAAACTGGATTTGTGCACAGAACTTAAAAGTTTGCGGCCTTTATCTCCTGATAACTAACACAGTCATCACACTTGACTAATTTCCACATTACTCACTAAGTGGTACGCTATAGAAGTGTTTGAAAAGTCAAAGGTATTTAAAACATGTAAAGAAACCCTGATCCCAGTTAAGTCAGTGGGAGTTTTGCCATTGAGTTTACTGATGCATATTTTCATCCTCAAGATTTAGTTACAATGATAAGACCAACTTGAAAAAAATAAGTGTATCAAAATCAGTAAAGCTGCCTTCCTGAGGCTATTGTAGTCATTTAATATAACCAATACATAAGGACAAAGTAGAGAACATGCAGCAAGCCTCTTGATGTCTTAAGTGACTGCTCATTACTTCTGCAGCCATTAAAGTTTTAAAAGCAGCCTGTTTAGATGAATCACATATTTCCCTCCTTATTGACAAGTCCAAAAAAAAATGCATTTACTTTGAGGCCCCATTTTTAGGAGGCTCTATCACATTTTCAAAAAATGTTTAAGCAGCGTAACAGCTGTAAATGAGCCTATGACTTTCTGCTGCAATTACCCTTTGAGAGCCAATGGGAAGGCAGTAGTTGCTTTGAAATACTCTTTTTTTTTTTTTTTGGGGGGGGGGGTGGGGAGGGAGGTGGGAGGGGGTCAGGGAAGCAGAAGAAGAGGAGAAAGAAAAGCCAGCCTGAAGGCAAAAGTACAGGGAGAAGCATCAGCAGTAAACAGCGAATGTCTGCATGAGGTGGACTTGGGTAATGTTCCAGAGAGGGGTGAAGTGAACATGCAGCCCAGAACTTGAAGGGAAAGAAACATCAGGAGCAATACCACTACTAACATGAAGACGCCTCTGTGCTTTTCCTGGGTTCTAGCGTACCCCAAAGTGCAGTATGTTTCTTTCTGATTCATTGTGAACCACTTGCTGAAAAACCTTGTCAAGCCATGTAGTGGGGCTTGAGCATCTTAATTTGGCAGTGCTCAGGTGGCTGTGAAAGTATCACAGAACAGTTGAGGTTGGAAAGGACCTCTGGAGATTGGTCCAACGCCCCTGCTCAAAGCTGGGTCAACTAGCGCAGGTTGCTCAGGACAATCCAGCTGGGTTTTGAATATCTCCAAGGATGGAGATGCCAAAACCACTGTAGGCAACTTGTTCTACTATTTGATCACCCATGTGATAGAAAAAAGTTTTTTCTTATGTTTAAATGGAATTCATTGTATTCCGGTTTGTGCCCATTGCCTCTCGTCTTTCTCCTGCTTCTTGCAGGAAATGAGCAATTTGGCTGAACTACAACATACAGCATTTTCATAATTCTTTTGCTTACTAGGTAAAACTAAAAGACATAGCCAACACCTTCTTACAGAGCACAGGTTGAGGCAGGCTGGGGGCACTGGAAAGCTCAGAGAGACAGCCAAGCAGCACAGCAGTGATGACAGTGGCAGCTAGTTGCATTGAGGCTCACTGGTATAATGACTTTGACAGTATTCCAGCTAGCCACACACGGGCCTGGCAAGTGAAGCAGAGGAAATAGCAGCAGAAGGGATAGCAATCATCTACCTAAGCTGGTCGAAACACTGTTCAACCATGGTAAGTGTGGCATCATACGTTACACAGAAAAATAGAAGAATTCCAGTGTTTTAGGATAAGGTATTTGCTAGGTACTTTTGACCACTGTATCAGAGACATAAGAGGGAAGTGCATACAGCAATAAGGGGCACTAATACAAGAAACCTAAAGCAAAATGATGAATTTGGTCCAGAATCCTTAAAACATAAACCTTCTTTGTTACTTCTTGAGCACTAGCTATGAATGTTATACTCCCTAAGGCACAAGTATGAAGGTAATACCTACCCAGAGCAATATTTAATCACTAAATCACAAGTGACAGAAGGAGAAATGCAGTCACCCTTTCGCTTACACTAATTTGTCCACATAACCAGTGTTGGTTTAAAACAGAAACCAGTAACAACACAATAGCACTTGCACGTTATTACGACTAAACAACCAATGCATTAAGCCTTCCAGCATGTGAAAGTACACGAGCTTCAGACTAATGCTGACTGGCTGATGAGCTAGCAATACGCTGCAGGCTGATAATTAGCTTTCATTGGCCTATGAACACATTCAGTGTTTCAGATGCTTTCACCAGGTAAGGTGCTCTTGAACAGGGCCTCATTAATATGAAGAGAGGTAATTGACAATTACGTAGGTTACAGCTCGGCCCTTAAATTGAAAAATAGGGTGGAAGTTACTAAGTCACTTGGGCTGGCATCACTAAGAAGAACTCAGTCTGATTTGGTGAGTTGTCTAAGATTGCAGTGAAGGAGCTTCAACTGAAAGATGCAGGAAGGAAAAGTAGTGCCATTAATGGGGTGAAGTGTAATATTTACGTGACTTCAGCAAACTGCAGATTTGGCTGTGGAGAGTCATTATTAGAAATTTTGCAAGAAGAGAAGTTGCTTATCAAAGAGATTTGTTTTGCTTGGGGAGGTACTGTAGCAAAGAGCATAGGTAAGGAAAAGAGACTCTTCCCTGTCTGCGTGGCTGTTGCTTATGAGGGCTACGCTCACAGAAGTTTAGGAAATGCGTTGTGGGGGTTTGCATCCATGTGGAATTAACACGTGAGTAGCTTTCTCTCCCCTGATGCTGAAGTGGGGGAGCGCTGAAGCCTCTAATAGGAATTGTTGCTGGGAGAGGGTCTCTTGCTGGGTAAACGCGGTTACGTTCTTGTGGATAATTGAGCCTAGAGTTGTGTTTTCTTTTACTACAGAATCTCTGTGTAAACAAATTAGTTCCATTTCTTTTATTTAAGCCTGAATGATGCTTATTTAAGTCTCTTGACATTTGATGAGTGCTATTCCCATCTCCTTCCTGTGTTGACATACAGAGGACAGAGCAGAATCAAAATTCACTCTATATGTAACTTTGCTTCCATTACAAAATTCTCTTCCTAAACCACAAAGATACAAGATGTGCTGTTCACTAGCTAATCCTTGTAGCTATTTCTCACACCCCTCTCATGCTTAAGAGAAAGCTATGTTGCAAGAATACAGCCTTCCCAGGGTTAAAAGAGGTAGCCTACCTACAGTGACTCTAATGTTTGCAAAGAGAAGCAGAACAATTTGAAGCTCAGTCCTTTTCAACCGTTCTATACATTTTGCTCCTACCACTTCAGCTCATGAAAGCCTTTGCCATCGTTGAATGTTAGAGAGTCTACGTACTCTTCACTTTTCTTTGCAGGTTTGACAAGCTTAAAATGTGTTTGAGAACCCAAAACCTTCATCAGCCCACACCTAATTGAGCTCATCTTTCTACTTGCTCACCTGAGAGCTCTGTTTGCGTACTGGACCATAGGCTGCCTTTAGTTAAGGGGTAAGTTTCAGGCAGGGTCTGCAGTGTCAGCCTCTCTGGCCAATAAAGGAGGCAAAACCACCATGGACTAATTGTGCAGCCCTCCAAGATTAGTTCTACCTCCGTAGCTTATATGAATCTTTGTTTAATAAGTAGAATTCAAATCTCAGACTCTCGTGGGTACTTCCAGCTAGATTGTATTTCTTCAGGGATGGATGATCATTGAAGCCAGGACAGCCAAACTCTTCTAAACTAATCGCTCATTCTTGCATACTACACAAGAAATGAGAGGATTAAAAAAAAAAAAAACTCTAAACAAACAACAAAACACCTTTCTTCTTTCCCAAGCCCCATTCGTCTTTGCTTTTGCTTTCCAATCCACAATAGAACTCCTGTATAGACAAATGAGTACATACTTTTCTTTTGAAGCCTGATTTCTCAACATCTGAGGTGTGCCTCCTTCCTGTTTGCTGTGGGTTCAGAGGAACACATACTTTCTAACTCTACTCTATTTGGACTTTATGTCTCAGTACAAATTTTTTTTCCTGAACCACAAAGATAAAATGTATATGCTGTTCACTGGCTTGTGCTTCAATCATTTTTCATGTCCTTCCCTCCTCCTCTTCATTTAAATCTATAGTCTTTCAGGGCGCTGTGCTCTCCCAAGTTTAGGCAGGGTTAGCTAGCTAACCTGTGACCAAAGGTGGTGAGGAATGTTTAACAACGCGTTGATTAAAATGTGAATTAATGTACTTCCTAGAGGATGGCATTTCATCCGTCTGCTTCCCCAATTCCTAAGGATTAGAGAAATAACATTGTGTGGCACTTTATCTGGCCAGTGTCCCTGAGATCCATATAAAACACAAAGCTACTTGAGCATAATGTGTTCGCTGACTGGGAAGGAGGACTTCTGTTATGAAAACAAGCTATATCTCAGTCTCTGCTCCCATTCAGTATTCAAACAGAGACCCTCAGTGTTGTTGTCTGAGGAAGCTCTGAGAGCAGAAGGCTTTTCTCTCCCTAGCTGACAAAGATGCCCCTGGGTCATGCAACATATTTACAATCAGCACTCAGATCAAATAAACATGCTGAAAAACGTTTCTTCCTCTGCTTCTGTCTCCAGGCGGGGTGCACAGCTTTGCCTTTAACTGAATTGCAAAACAGTTGTGTGGGTCCTTGCAGCTAGGTGCAGAGATCTCCTGTCAATCGCTCACTTAGGAGATGGCCCTGAAGTTGGTTATTCTGAGCATAACCATGGGCGTGTGGAGGAGCAGGAAAAGCTTTGGGGATTGTAGAACTGCTCTGCAAATGCTGAAAAAAAACTGTTGAAAATGTTGAAAAAGCTGTTGGGAGGCACTCAGACCTGTGGCACACGATTATTTCTCTGCCGTAACTAGGACTTTAAAGAGGCCCGGGATTGCTAGTATGAGGATATTCATTGAGCATATTCATAGAGATGAGAATGGCTTTTGAAAAAGCTCACTTCAAGGGAAACATGCAAAATAGCCCTATTTATATTTAAGAGGCTGGAGGAAGCCTTTATCAGCTCTTGCGTCCAGACCTTTACCCAATGTAGGCTGGAATAAAAATGCTGACATCAACTGCCTATGATATTTTACATCCATTGAGACAATGGTCCTTACTTCAAGCATTTGCTG